AAAATTCTGACTTCGGAGAGGGCCACGTATCTACAGAGCCAGTATAGCAGAAAGGCAACGTGCTCCTCGTCGGTTACTGGGGTGTCTTTCGCACCACAATGCATTTTTACATAAGGCCCACATGCCATGACTTTGTTGTGCGGGGATGTCTTTATCTTCTACCATGGGTGGTCGGCTGCTGGTTCCTGGCATGTAAGGGTTCTGATTACTGGGTCCCCCCTACAATCGGGAGGTGGGCGACCATGGGGACATCCATCAAGGTCAGGCCAATTGGCCCTGAGGGTAGCAAGAATGCACTTACCTCCGGGTCCCAGAAGACAGTCATGGCTAGGATGATTGTGTCTTGAATGTTGAAGCTTTGGTAGGACAACAAAATAGCTTTGTCAAGCCCTTGTTGTTTCTATTGTTTTCCGAAACTCTTCTCCATCCTTTCGTACCAGATGCGAAATTCATCCTTGGGATCCAGAAGATTGATTTTGATTCCTTCCAGAGACGGGATGCATTGAAGGCTCCGTCGTGAATGGCGAGGCGACAGTTGTGTTGCAGAAAATTTAGCGTGGGGGCTCCCTCAGCGACGGTGGAGACGAAGGGGTGCACCACCAGAATGGCGGTGGACGATGGGTTCATAGCAAGCTGAGGAGCGGATCCATCGAACGAAATGAGGGTTGTGGTCTCAATGGCAGTATGAGTACCTAATGCACAAAAAGCTAAAATGAGTGGTGAGAAAGGTGCACTGAATGTTCAACAGGAGTTTTGGAAGAGGTAGGAGGAAGAATGCTGATGATGAAAGGTTTTAATATATCTCTCCCTTTTTCGACCGTCGTAATGATCATTCTGTAGACCTGGGATAGAGGAAAGAAGCTGTCATGTCAACAGTCACCGCCCTTGAGATGTGACTCTTGACATTCTCTGGGGGACGGCAAGTTGTTGAGTTACAAAAAAGTGGAGTTTAGGGTTCATCCAATGGGTTCACAAGGACAAGTTGGTCCCGTAGGGTCAAATTGAGTACAAGGAGATTTGGCAGTACAATTCGGCAAAACTGGAATACAGGTGCGATGGGCCAATGGATCGTTCGTTTTCGGGCCAATTGGTTGCAAAGTCAGGAAGCACCGCTTGGATGGTTGGGGTATCTGAAGACTGAAGAAGCGTACCCTGTGACCGATTCGGGTGGTTGGAGGTTCATAGGGTAACCGTCAAGCGGTTATCTCGTAATCAGGTAACCGAATCCAACCGCTCGAAAACGATGCAGACAAATGTATATAAGTAAGGAGCATGGGCAAAAAGAAAACATTCGACAATACAAGAAAATTCTGGACAATTCTACATTTTAGTTTTTTCTTAACTCTAATTTTCGTTTCTTGTTTGTATTTTGGATTTTTGTATCAACAACTACATCGCTTAGGGATTCATACCTCAAGTACAAGTCATCAAATTCGAAACTTACTTTCGAATTTATTTTGTTTTGTTGGATTTCTCAAGCCAACAGATATATTTGTAATTTAAGTAAAAGTTAAGGGTATTTTTGTATTAAAATATAGTTACTTTTACTAAAAATATGAAATAATACTTTTATGTGAGAAAGATTACAATAGTAAAAAATAATTTAAATTGAGACGGAGGAAACACAATATATAAATATAGTAAAGAATATCAAATCACAAATATTTATGTTACATCTAAAATATAATTATATTGCATCCAAACGATATTAATTATTCCACGAGTTTATAAGAAGCACGTAATTATTAAATATTCAGTCGGCAAACGCAGGTAATTACTTTAAGGCAAAATAGCAAAAAAAATCCCTGTGGTTTTCCGAATTCGCTGAAAACCCCTCGTGGTTTTAAATTTTCAAAAAAGCTACTTGTGGTTTCCAAAATGTTTCATACTCTTCCCCCTCTCTAAATTTGACTAACGGAGGTTAAATTTTATGAGATTTGACCGTTATATTCTTATTTATATATATTTTAATTTATTTTTCTCTCTTCTCTTCTTTCTTCTTCTCTTCTCCCCAAAAACACCGATTCTTCCATCTTTTTTTTTCTTCCCCAAATTCTCTTCACATACGCACTAGGTTTTTCTCCAATTTTTTTTCTTCTTCCTCAATTCTTTTTCAGGCCGCTGCAGCAGTCCCATCCAGTTCTTTCTTTTCTTTTTTTCCCCTAATTTTTTTTTCCATATTCTTGATCTTCAATTCTTCTTTGAAGAACGAAGAATTGGAAAATAATAAGAAGAGAAAGAAGATGACGGGCATAAGCGAGCTGGAGTAGGGAAGAAGGAAGACGAGAAAAAGAAGAAAAAAGAGAAAATGAAAGAAGAAAAGAAAGAGGGAGAAGAAGCAGGTTGGACTAGATTTTTTTTTTCTCCAATTCTTTTTCTTCTTTCTCTCTCTTTTTTTCCCCAATTTTCTTTCTTCTTCATTTTTTACTCTCCAATTCTTCTTGATTTTTTTATTTATTTTTTTCTTTCTCTCTCTTTTTCCTCAATTTTTTTTCTTTATTTTTCCTCCTCAATTCTTCTTTCTTTCTCAATTTTTCTTCTGCAACGAGTAGCAACAAGTTATTTTCCTTCTTCTTAGATTGATTTTAAATTTGGATGTCAAATTAATTTATTAAATTTTTAGATTTCGTAAAACATAAGAAGATAGTATGGAAGAAAATAAAGAATAAGAAAGAAGCTACTGTAAAATAAAGTTACTAGGGTATCTTTATAAACAAAAAGAAAAAAATGCATAGCAAACGTGAAATACATCGTTAATTCCTAATGGAGGAAAATTTTTTTGTAATATTTTAGAAATTACAAAGTAGATATTTTGGAGCTTTAGAACTATAAAGAGTTTTCAACAAATTTGGTAATCCACATAGACAATTTCTTTTTTGGTATTTTGCCTTAATTTAATTACATTTTTATTAAGCACAGGCACAACAGATGATAGCAAGACACAGTACAGACATTTATTTTTCGCCGGCGAGGCCGAGGTAACGGACGGCTATATTAACGGCGGCGTCCTTCAGCATGCGGAAAAGCGCTGCAAAACTACGACGCTTGATGGCGTTTCCGCGGACAGTAACGGTGAAGCTCGGAGGAGCAACCCGCCGCTGTGGCTGTATGTATGCAGTAGAAGAAGCAAATACCTTTCCACCTCTTCTGCCCATCGATCCTCTCTCTCTATCTCTCTTTCTCTCTTTCTGTCTGTATATATAGGTCATAACATCTAACATCAACCCCGGGTGACGTCATCTTGTTGCCGCTGAGAAACACTCGCATCTCCATTACAATTAAAGTGGAAAGTAATTGGTGCAAAAGTCGTGCTGGACAGAACATCCCAGTGAATTTTTTTTTTCAAATATTATTTATTAAATTATTTGTTTTTATTTTTAATTTATATTTTTGTATTATATAAAATTTTATTATTTATAAAATGATATATATTGATATAATTTTACTTAAATTTAATAATATTATTAATTATTTTGATATAAATTAAAAAATATATATATTTTGTAATGAAGTGAAAGAAATTGACGGTGAAATAGAAAAAAAAAATATATATATATATATATGAGGTGGAATTTGAGAGAAATTTTTGTACAATTTATTTGATACGAATGGCCTGAGCATGTTTACTGGGTCGGCGATAAATTTGCTTTTGGTAGGTGACGTTGGAGGCGACGTTGGACTTGAGGTTGTCTTGTTTAAAGTTGACACAAATATTAAGACATAAAAATTGTACAATAGTTTACACATCACTAAATAATTTTTAAAGCTTGAGAAATGCTACTATGACACTAGGTCAAACCCAAGCAAGCATTCTTATTTTGGTTCTATTTGAAGACTATTGTGTAATTATTTTTGCTGATTGGATAATTGCACAATTATACGTGTAACAATATAATCGTGTATAATTATACATTAAAATATATATAATCATATAATAATATGACCGTGTATAATTGTACATGGCCGTGTAGTTTCCAGGTCAACTGCTACGTTATTTCTATTATGTCAACGTAAGTAATTTTCGTTAATTTTTTAACGATGAAATCAAAATTGATTGAAATTGTTTATAATGAGATCAAAATTGATTAAATTTTTTTTATAATATGTAAAGTTAATGCGAAAGTATTGATGCTAGTAAATATAAATATATAAATATTTATAATATGTAAAGTTAACGCGAGAATATTGATGTTAATAAATATAAATATATAAATATTTATAATGTGTAAAGTTAATATGAAAGTATTGATGTTAATAAATATAAATATAATAATATTTATAATGTGTAGTAACATTCATATATACTAAAACAAATATATATATATATATATTGTGTTTGATCAATAAAAATGATAGAACATATATTACCAAGTGGACAGAGATAATAATATTTATATTTCGTATATTTTATTGAAGTATAATTTTAAAATATTCAAATTGTATTTTAAGTTTATTTAAATTAAATATGTACTTATCATAATTCAATTAACATTCAAACACCATTTCATTACTTGCATCCAAACCTCATTTACATATACTAATTGATTGTTTTTTTTCCGTATCTTTACATGGAGACTAATATTTGGTTTTTATGGTTTTAGTTTCAAATTAAAATTACTATTTTCTCTATCACCTAATAATATATTTAAAATTTTGGATGCATATGTTAAAGATGGTGTATATATATATATATATATATTTTGTTTATTTTTTTATATAGTAAAACATATATAAAAAGTGATATAATTTTTTCTAGAAAGATATAACAAAAATATTATTAGATGATTAAAAAAAGTGAGCATATTTTATGTGACAGAGAAAGTACTACTATTTTTCAACAAAAATTTACTATTTTTTATTTTTTATAAAATATTAGATCGAGATACTATTTAAATGAAAGTTTGAATTAAAAATTTAAATTTAAAACAAAATCAAATAAATTCTTATATAATGTGAATGACAACGGTTAATATGTTGATTAAAGTTAATCAACATCTATCATACTAGTTTCTCAGCAAGAACATACGCCGACCATTAGTGTCAAATTCGAATGCAATACTTTTTAGAAACTTTTCATATAGACCCACTACTTTACTTAGACCACATTAACATTAATATTTAGTAGTAGAATAATGGAGACTTTTCACATAAACACATTACTTCACATAGACCACATTAACATTAATATATTGTCATCGGATGCTTTATCGGATTGGAATTGATTTATCGTCGAGGTATACATTGTTCTCATCCTCCTCTTGGACCTGTAATTGGAGAAAAATATTTTATATACTTTCTGGCTGTTAATATAGTATAGAAAGAGCTTTGCGATTGTACAGACCCTTATTGTACTATAATGAATTAGAGTCTATACTCTCGCTAAAATAAAATTAATTATGTTGATTTTTTTATAAAGAATATTGTAATTGTATAATCAAAGTATGAAATATATACTCAAAAAGCATCACCTTATTATTTGTACAGACTCTTCTTATGCTCTAACGAATCAGAGTTTATACTTTTGCCCAAAAACAAAATTTAATTATGTTGATTTATATATGTAAAGAACACTGTGTTTGCATATTTAGAGCATAAAATATACTTCATCCGTCATTCAAATTTATACTCACTTTCCTTTTTAAGTTGTCATCGAAAACTATTCCCGTTTCCCTTTTAAGTAAAAAATTATTATATTTTTGTATTTTTTTTTTACTATAAAAGAAAAAAGTAACAATTATTATTCATTTTTATTAATTGTCGTGACCTGTCAAATAAGCACAGATTTACATGACAGTAGGAGTATTCTTTTAAAAAATACCACATTATTGTTTGCATAGGCTCTTATTATACTTTTCGTTTTAGAACTTATGCTTCATAAAAGAATTAATTATGTTAATTTTTACAGAATACTATAATTGAATAATTAAAGTATAAAATATATCCTAAAAATCACAATATTTATTATACACGTAGCATAAATGTGTAGCTACGTAGTCATGTTGTATGCTTTTATATTTTCTTCGGTATAAGATTTTCATGCCTATAAATATGTGTTTGCAACAATCAATTTGGATTACTTTTGATTACAATCAATATATATATATATATATCCACGTACATACAACTCCATACATACATACATATATACTATACATATATATTATAATATACATGCAAGTTATTACATTCCTATATATTATTATATAATATATTATATACAATATATAAAATAGTGGTCAGCGGTATAAATAATTAATATTTCTATTGGCTATTCCTATAATAATATTACAACACGTTATCAGCACGATTATATATTTTATTTCTCGCAAGGTAATATTTTATATTTTATCTGTTTATTATGACTAACCTTGCCAAATAATAATTTCTCTCTCTCCTCGTTTCTGGCCAAAATTATATGGCATGGACTCGCGATGTTAAAATGCATCTGGCATCAATGGGCTTAGAAAATACCATTGCCTGGGATAAAAACTCCCCGAGCCAAGATCGTGCAAATGCCATGGTCTTTTTGCGTCATCACATCGATGATGCACTAAAAATGCAGTATGTCACGCTGGAATCCCCACTTGAATTGTGGGAGAGATTGAAAGAAAGATATGATCATTTAAGGCTGACATTGTTGCCGAGGGCACGAAGCGAATGGCAAAGCCTACGGCTTCAGGACTTTAAAATAGTCCAATAATATAATTCTGCCCATGTTTAAAATAAGATCACAGCTGCGCCACTGTGGCGAAATATATCTGAATCTGATATGATGGAGAAAACTTTCTCCACTTTTTATGCCTCTAACATGGTTTTGCAGCAACAGTATCGCGAAAGAGGCTTCCAGAAATATTTTGAGCTGATCACCTGTCTTTTGCTTGCCGAATAAAATAATGAGTTGTTGTAGAAAAATCACAAATCTGGACCGACAGGTGCAAATCCATTTCCATAGCCAAATGCAATACAACCGAAAAATCCGGTGCGTGGTCGTGGGCAAGTAAGAAATCAGCGAATTGATCGCGATCAAAATCATAATCGCGGACGGGGCCGGGCAAACGCATACAGTCGCAATAATTATCAAAACAAGCCCCAATATGTGCCAAATCAGCGTTATAATAACAGAAGGCCATACAGACCTCAACAGAGGTTTAACACCGGGAGAAACAGAAACAATGACGAGGAATGCACCCGGTGCGGAATCAAAGGCCATTGGGCCCATGTTTGTCGCACAACCAGTCACTTGGCTGAACTTATCGGGCCTCAAAAGAAAGGCAGGGAAGAGTTGCTGCCGAAACAAACCACGCTGCCCACGATGACACATTTGACGATGTGATGAATGAAAATATCACGCACCTGGATGCCGATGACCTGCTTGATATAGCTGATGATGTTAAATGATAAAATATTGTTGTATCTCTTTTGTTATTTTGATGCTTTATGTCCCCCTTTTTGTATTGCCCCTTATAATATAAGTCTATTTTGATTATGTTACTAATACACGTCTTTTATTATTTTTACCTTCTTGCAAAGATATAGATGCCAAATATTTTGGAGCCGATGACAATATATGCCTTATCGACAGTGCTACGACTCACAGCACTTTGAAAAACAAATGTTATCAGTGGTGTATCGAAAATGATTGAAGGCTCAGGAAAAGCTACTGTATTTCTCCCAAAATGGACAAAAATGACAATTGAAAATGTCTTGTTCTCGAGCAAAGCTCGAAGGAATTTACTAAGCTTCAGTGATATTCGGAAAAATGGTTATCACATTGAAACATTGAATGAGGCAGAAAATGAGTATCTCATGATAACTCAGATTGTTAATGACAAAAGAATTGTGAAAGAAAAATTGCCATCATTTTCTTCCGGCTTATATTATTAAAAAATCAGTGCCATTGAAATATATCACCTAGTAGACCAAATGGCTACTAGCGAATTTAAAACTTGGCACGATCGACTTGGGCATCTTGGCAATGTAATGCTGAGGTGAATTGTTGAAAATTCAAATGGCCACTCATTAAAAAAGAAAAATATTTTGAGTCCGAATGAATTTGCTTGTGCTTCCTGTTCCCAAGGGAAGTTAATAATCAGGTCATCTCTAACAAAGGTTGGATTTGAATCCCCAACTTTTTTGGAAAGAATTCAAGGTGATATTTGTGGACCAATAGATCCACCGTGTGGACCCTTCAAGTACTTTATGGTACTAATTGACGCGTCAACGCCATAGTCACACGTATGTATGTTATCTACTCGCAATCTAGCTTTCGCTAGACTACTTGCACAAATAATTAAATTGCGAGCACAATTTCCAGATTACCCGATAAAGAAAATACGTCTAGATAATGCTGGAGAGTATTCATCACATATATTTGATGATTACTGCATGTCAATTGAGATTACTGTGGAACATCTTGTTCCCCATGTACATACGCAAAATGGCCTCGCTGAATCCCTTATCAAAACATTGCAATTAATTACTAGACCATTATTGATGAGGTCTAAACTTCCTGTATCATGTTGGGGACATGCTATATTACATGCAACAGCCCTCGTGAAAATAAGACCGACAAGTTATCACTGTTATTCCCCTACTCAATTGGTATCTGGAAAAATACCAAATATATCACCTGCGAATATTTGAGTGTGTTGTTTATGTGTCAATTGCACCACCTCAACGCACGAAAATGGGACCTTAAAGAAGGTTGGGTATATCTGTCGGATATGAATCACTCTCGATCGTAAAATATCTTGAACCAACAACGGGTGATTTATTTACTGCGAGGTTTGCAAACTGTCATTTCGACAAATCACATTTCCCGACATTAAGGGGAGACAATAATCAATTGAAAAAAGAAATTTCGTGGAAAATACCACTTGAATTTGATCATCGTACGAAACATAGTGAACTTGAAGTTCATAGAATTGTGCATCTGCAGAAAATTGCAAATCAATTACCTGATACTTTTAATGATGCTGCCAGAGTTACAAAATCATATATTGCAGCAACAAATGCACCAGCCAAAATAAATATCCCAGAAGGGAAAGTGCCGAGTGCTAATGAGCATACTGCCCGCGTAAAACGTGGCAGACCGTTGGGTTCCAAGGATAAGAGTCCACAAAAAAAGAAAATTGTAAATACTGGTGAATGAATCAACAATGATCAGATACCTGAAAAAGCCAGTACAACCCCTGAAGAGGTTGATACTAAAAATTCTGATGAAAGTGATGATGAAGTTATTGAAACTTCTGTTAACTATACCATCAGTGGAAAATATTGGAATAGAAAGAAAACAAATATTGATAATGCATTTGCATATTCTGTAGCACTCGATATAATGAAAGATGACGAGGATTATGAATTAAAATCAGTTGATGAATGTCGGCAAAGACATGATTGGGCAGAATAGAAAGACGCAATTAAGTCTGAATTGGACTCATTGAAAAAACGGCAAGTATTCGGCTCTATAGTCCAAACACCGGAAAATGTGAAACCTGTTGATTACAGATGAGTGTTTGTGAGAAAAAAAATAAAAATAATGATATCACAAGATATAAAGCAAGGCTTGTAGCCCAGGGTTTTTCCCAGAGACCGGGCATTGATTTTGAAGAAATATATTCGCCGGTCATGGATGGAATAACATTCAGGTTTCTGGTGAGTCTGGCAGTACACAATAATTTTGATATGCGATTAATGGATGTGGTTACTGCCTATCTTTACGGCTCCTTAGACAATAATGTCTATATGAAAATCCCAAAAGGGATAAACATACCTGAATCATTCAAATCAAAGTCAAAAGAATCATATTCCATCAAATTGCAAAAATCTCTGTACGGGCTCAAGCAATCAGGCCGAATGTGGTACAATTGTCTCAGCGAAAGCCTAACAAACGAAGGTTATATAAATGACCCTATATGTCCATGTGTTTTTATAAAAAAAAATGGGTCTGAATTTGTAATCATCGCTGTATATGTCGATGATCTCAATTTAATTGGAACTCTTGATGAAATCCAGTAAGTTGTTGAATATCTGAAAAAGGAGTTTGAGATCAAAGATTTTGGAAAAACCAAATTTTGTCTTGGTTTGCAAATTGAGCACTTGGAAAGTGGAATCTTTATCCACCAATCAAATTATACCAAAAGGGTACTAAAACAGTTCATGATGGATAAATCACACCCGCTAAGTACCCCAATGATCGTCAGAGCACTCGATCCCGCAAAGGATCCTTTTAGACCAAAAAAGGAAAACGAAGAAACACTTGCCCCTGAAGTGCCATATATGAGTGCTATAGGCGCATTAATGTATCTTGCTAACAGCACCCGACCTGATATATCATTTGCTGTAAACTTGTTAGCAAGATTCAGCTTATCGCCTACTCGACGACATTGGAATGGGATTAAGCACATTTTTTGCTATCTCCAAGGAACAATTGATCTCGGGTTATTTTACTCGAAAAATTCTCGACATAAATTAATTGGATTTGTTGATGCAGGATATTTATCGGATCCTCATAAAACTAAGTCTCAAACTGGCTACATATTCACTTGTGGTGAAACAGTGATCTCTTGGATCGATGAAACAAACATTAACTGTCACTTCTTCAAATCATGCTGAAATATTGGCAATACATGAAGCTAGTCGAGAATGTGTTTGGTTGAGGTCAATGACTCAACATATTCTGAAAAATTGCGGGTTAATACTTGACGATAAAATTCTCTTAACTACATTGTATGAAAATAATACGGCTTGTATAGCCCAATTGAAATGAGGTTACATTAAAGGAGATAGAACAAAACATATTTCACCAAAATTCTCTTTTACTCATGATCTTCATCAGAATGGTGAAATTGATGTGCAGCAAATTCGATCAGATAATAATTTGGCGGATATATTAACCAAGGCATTACTGACTGCAATATTTGAAAAACTAGTGAAGAAAATTGAAATGCGTCGGTTTAGGGATCTTCAATAATCCTCAGACCAAGGGGAGAATCAATACAAGAATGATGTACTCTTTTTCCTTCACTAAGATTTTTTTTCCCACAGAATTTTTTCCTAGTAAGATTTTAACGAGACACATTTTTCGTATAAAAACATCCAAGAGGGAGTATTATACACGTAGCATAAACGTGTAGCTACGTAGCCATGTTGTATGCTTTTATATTTCCTTCGGTATAGGATTTTCATGCCTATAAATATGTGTGTGCAACAATCAATTTGGATTACTTTTGATTACAATCAATTCACTTCCATCTCTCCTGCCTTTATATATATATATATCCACATACATACATATATACTACGCATATATATTATAATATACATGCAAGTTATTACATTCATATATATTATTATATAATATATTATATACAATATATAAAATAGTGATTAACGGTAAAAATAATAATTAATATTTCTATTGGCTATTCCTATAATAATATTAAAATAATATTATTATTTTCATAAACTCTTGTGTTTTTTGTAGGACTGTTTTTAAGACGGCGTCACCATCGTAATCGATGCCTAGTTTAGCGGGAATATATATATATATATATATTAACTTTTCATCGTTGCTATTTAATAAAATATGATGATCCGATTTATATTTTAATGGATTCTCTCATTCCAAAGGATAATAATTATTTTAATCTTACTTCCAACTTGAGTTTACACAGTTGAAATCTTCCAAAAAGGTTTGCCCTTATCAAATTCTAACGTCATATTTACAGCGGAGGTTCTTAACATTTTAATAAACCTGACACAGTTCCACACACATGCCACACATAAGAAATAAGAAAAAATAAACAACAAAAATACTTAAGAATAGTTTTAACCAAGAACTTGGTAAGGATTAGAGCAGGTAAAAATAGACACAGTCCAAAATCTTATATGAATTTGACATAAAAAAACAAAAATCGTACTTGAACCTAAAAAATAAGTTCAAAAAAATTCGGACCGTTCCTGACCTGATATGAGTATGAACCGGGTGTGCCCGGCTCCATCAAGATTAGGCACGGCCCGATTTTAAAATTAAATACTCTGTCCGTCCCACATAATTTTTCATTTCAGTTTTTTGGAAATATAATTATACAATTTAATCACATTTTAAAATTCATAATTTATATTTTTTTATTTTAATTAAACTATTTAGTCATCTTAATCTATAATTATTTTTATTAAATTATAATTATTTTCAGTAATACACTTCTAAGTTGCTTAGTAATTACACAATACATAAAACTACTCTGTGTCTAAGCTAAATAAAACAATTTAGCTGTGATTGAGAGAATATAATTTTTAAAAATAATTTTATAAATATATTAACAAATAAATTAAAGTTAAAAATAAAAGTGTAGTATAATAGTTTAGCTTGTGTGCTATAGATACGAGGTAATTACTTCAATTCTCACATATATTTAAAACCGACTAAACATTGTCGGGTCCACCCCATATGTCATCCCAATAAGAATGATTCTTGTCCGTCCATGATGGTACGGTGGTGTGGGGGTTGGACGCGTGATCATTTTAAGGATGCCAACGGGGTGGGTTTGGGACGAGTTTTGCAGGCCTTGGGACCCAACCCGACAAACCCGCTTTATTTTTTAAGAAAATAATAAATAATTTTTTTTAAAAAAATAATTTAATACTAAAAAAAATATGCGTTAAAATATCAAAAAATTATATTTGTAAAAATAAGAACAATCAAATACTGACGATAGTTCATAGTGATGACGGTCAACAGTAGTCCCAGATTATAAAGAGAATTGTAGGAGAAAGAAATGTAAAGATAAATTTGATTTAGAATTAATATTCTATTTTATATTTAAATTTTTTTAAATAAATAAAAAATATAATTTATATTGCATAAAAATATAAATAAATTATAATAATTATTAATATATCCGAGTTCGGACCTGGATCCGGGGTGGGGCGGATTTATAATAAAACCCGTAACCCGCCCCGAACCAAATATTTTAGACCCGAACCCGCCCCATGAAAACCGGGTCCAGGGCGGATCCGGGGCTAATCCGCCCCATTTGACATCTCTAATTAAGTTCGGCCGGGATTTTAAGGTAATAAAATTTAATTAGTTAATAATATTAAATTAAAATATTACTTTATTATTATTTTTTATATAAGTAGTATTATTGCAGTTTTAATTTTGAGAATTAATATATGATTTAAATAATTTAGTATATATATTTTTAATATTTTAAATATTACATCTTAATAAAATATATACAAATGAATATTATTTTATAGTTAATACAATTTTAAATAATATGACTAAAAAAATATATGCTTTATTTATAATTAAAATAAACTAATTGATAAAAAAAAGAGAAAGTTTTAAATGTAATAATAATATTTATTTATCTAGAAAAGATGAAATAAATAAGTTTGAGTGGTCCTACTTAATGTATTAATTTATACTTGTTAAATATATTTCGATTTAGTAAATTTTATCAAAAATATAAAAATATATCAATTGAAAAGTTATGAACAAAAAAATTGGATGATCATTAATTTGTAAAAGTGGTATATGGTTGTCCCAAAAGACATTTATGCTGATGCTCTATACTTGATGATAAACTTATAATTTGAGATTGAAAGAGCCATATCTGTATCTTAAATTATGTAAAAGACTATCATAATAAATATATTAATTTATAAAAATAAAAAAATACATTTTATAAGAATAATTTTTTTAAATGTATAAATATATTAATTTATGATAAATAAATGTCATAAATTAGAATACTATTACGATTTTTTTTAAAAAAAAATAAAATTGAAATTATAGTATAACCTCAATCTAACCTAAAATCAAACACACCTTTAGGGTTTGTTTAGTTATAGTTTAAAATAAATTGTTAATTTATATTTTTATTTCAATGATATTTTAATTTAATTTGCAAAAGAAATATCAATTTCAATTTAAAATAAAAAAGAAACTCTTCATCTAACTTATCAAGAACTACTTCATATGACTCCATTAGCATTGAATATTGACTCTTGGAGATTTTAAAGTATTGATCACTTTAGCATTGAAAATTTGAATGGAACCAAATTTTCAATTAATTGAACAAATTTCATTGAAATACAAATATTATATATTTTGATATTTGTTTGATTCAATTTATATAATTAATGATATTATTTCCGATTTGAATAGGGTTTATAAATTCAAAAATTTGTTGATGAACTCGTTCAAATCCCAACATCTTTGAATCTTGCTTGCCATATATATCGGTCTTATTTCGCAGGTTATTAAAATTTTATTAAATTTGTAAAAGACAAACACCAGTCAAGGCAGACTCTTAGCAGGAGCAACCTGAGTAATTGCTCAGGGCCTTTGCTCTAAGAGGGGTCTATATTTTTAATTTTAGCTATTATTAAGTATATTCAAATTTATTTTAAATTTTATCCCAAAATTTTTTCAACAATTACTTAGTCTAATTTTAATTCTAAAATTCAATTTTAACTATAATTTTTCTAAAATTCCATATTTCTCGCCTTTAAAATTCGTAAATATTTATAAAGCTCATAATTATTATTAGATATATTAAAATTTAATTTAAATTTTATCTGTTTTTACAATTACCTAATCTTTCTAGCCTTTAAAATTTGCGGTTATTATTATTGAGTTATTGACTTTATAATAGTCAAAATATTGTAAAGTTTTATAATAATCAAAATATGTATCACAAACTAGGTCCGACAGTTCACTTCCATGCCAGTCCGTCATCCCTTACGAGACACATATTTTATTTATTGTATATATGATTAATATAATTTTTATTTTTGTAAAATTTATTACTATATTGTTCTTGTTGATAGTATTTTGAAAAAAAAAAAAAAATTGTTCATAGAACCTATCATTTTGTTTTTGCTCGTGGCCCTATAAAAAGTCCGAGGCTATCCTGACAGCAGTGGTTTGGGTTGGGAACCAACAAGGAAAGGTGAACATAATAATGCAAAACTTAATTAATAAATAAAATAAATAAATAAAAAGATCGTACCAGTAGAGGCTATGAAGCACCATAAAAAAACAGCTTCTTCAGTTCACCATCTAAATTCACAAGCAATGTAGGCAGGTAGATGCTAAGTAGTTGTGGGACATCCATCCATCCATCCATCGATTTCTATGGCACTTGAAACAAGTTTGCTGGGAATGAGTTGTAGGAAGCTCTGTGAAACAGCAAGTCCGCCATTGATCGATCCATGCTATTTCTATCTGCTTCCATGCAACCACGACGCCTAAAACAAAACAAAAGAAACCACAGGTAACTGAAAATTAGCAAAACTGCAAAAATGCTATTTAAGCTTTGAATGAATAAAATTTGTTTCATGTACTCTTTTGTTCCTTCATTGCTATTTGGCTTTCCTTCATTGGTACGTGTATTTCTTCGATCGGCGCTATCAGCCAGACGGTATAAGCTGTCCCTTATTCCCAACTTCGTTCTGAAATCCAACTGATCCAAGAAGATTTTACCAAGTTAGCTTAGGGAACAGACAGAGACAAAATTGTATGCAAGTGCTTCTGTCATTCTGAGAAGAAGAAGAAAGATATATCTTCGAGGAAAATTATGTAGCGATATGATATTGTAAAAGTTGTTGAATTTTCGATAAATATATATATATATATATGTATATACCTGTTCCATAACTAGCTGAAGCTGGAGAAAACTGGCTGCTTCTTGCGAAACATTGTTCGTACCTGAACTAGCTGTCGAGCTTTCTTTTACATTTGAGGTACATAAACCTGCTCGAGCAACTCCTCTGCGTTTACCATGTTCAAAATATTTACTGATTCTGTCGGGACTGGATATTTTCTCACTTCCAGTTTTTAGGCTTCTGGTGACAGAACATCGACTACCTTCACAGCCTTGTCGCTCCTGGCCTTGTTCAGGAACAGCTATAGCTCGCGCGCCAGGAGGGTCATGAGAGCTTGGTGGATATTTGGATGAGCTGAAAGAATTACCTTGGGGTAGTGGTACTAGTCGAACATTATTTGGACACTCAGAGCTTTGAGGAGATGAGAAAGGATGATGATAAATGCTTCTAGCAGGAAGCAATGGCACTTCATTTGGTAGCTCATTGATGTTAGTAGAACTACTGTTTCCAAAGTATGACTTCTTCTTGTTGAGCTGCAGAATGGATTAAATATCGATTAAACTCAGTATGGCAACCATTTTAGACCACAGCCAAATGCTTTACAGTTGAGAGATTTAGCATTATTACAGCAATCGAATTTTCATTCCATATAAAACTATTTGCATCAGTAATGTCAGGAACTCATATAGCACAGAACTGTGAAAAAAATATCTGAGAAAAGGAAAGCACAGTTTAGATCAGTGACCTGTTCAAGAGGGACAAATCGATCCTCTTTATCAGCCGCGGCAGATTGAATTGGGAAAGGGAATTCCTCAGATATGATGGATGGTGTTATCATGAAAGTATCATTAATTGAAGAGCTTCTTAAGGAGTCGTGGCTTTCTTCTGTCGTATACGTCTCAGGACATGTGAAAGTAACACTGGACTTAAGCAAATCACCAGAGGCTCCTGAGTCGTCTGCTGATGGTAACCAACTGAATTCATCTTTTTCACTGACCATATCATAAAATGTCGAATCATAACTTGTGAAAAAGTGATTAAACACAGTAATAAGGATAGATGATACAGAAACAACAAGATTGTGAAGCAAAGAAACATAGTCTGTTACCTTAACATTGTCTCAATATCTTCAAAGTTCTTCATTGCAGACCAACTATCACAACCTAGGAAATCCCTCGAACCGCTGCTCGGACCATCTTTGAGGAAATCAAGCTCTCTGCTGTTCTGATCTATATCGATATCGCTGGGTAAATAACTGAAAGAGCTTTCAACCATGGTAGTTGTGTCACAGAAAGAGGTGTCATATTCACAGAAGCCCCTACCATCTGAGCATGTGTTATTGGTATTCCATGACTCGGTACTGTCCAAAGCTAAACTTGATGAGTTTTTGGCTGGGATGCTATCACAGGCAGAAGAAAACAATGAGTTTACTGGCCATGAATCATTTTCCGTTATTGCTTTTCTTCTCCTAGGTATTGAAAAAGCCTTCTGTTCCCTTCCTTGATCACGACATCGGGTAGACGATCTATTGCTGGTATTGCTACAACTACTTGTTAATCCACAGATATTTGCATTGAGGTTTTCCTTCAGAACGAAACAGTCATCAAGCTTTGGTGAACCAGGAGTGGGCACCATATGATCATCATGACTCAGGAAGAATCTGTCGCAAGCTATGTGTTCAAACTGTAACAACAGTCATAGAATTTTAGTTGCAATAAGACAAGGTGCTCCCATTAAAATCAATAAATTTTTGAACAAGATTTGCAAGAAAACTCTGGAAATCGAGCCAGAAACCAATGCCCAAACTTCTATTTAAAAAAGTCTCACAAATAGTGTATAATTTGTCATAAACTAGACCACAGTAATGGAAGAATTATGTTATACCATCAGCAAAATACTATTGCAAAAACAAAATCAGTACAACTAATCCTCCTCCCGTCTTTGTAACAATCTCAAATAGCAGATAATTGGATGCAAATTCAACAACTTAGTATTTATGTGTTCTTGGCAACCAATCTAGAAGGGGAAAATTTACCTCATATACGCACAATTTGGACATTCTGTCAAGTTTGCAGGCTCAAACGATGGTGCAGTTATCTTCTGTTTGATTATCCTGCAACAGCTTTCAGATAAATATTCCATTTTTTAAACCAGGGAGTCAGATAACATACATCACTAGAAGCGACATATGTCTTATACCCTTAACATAGTCAGCTACTACAGCTAAATAATGTTAATAACAACAAAGAAAAGTGAATAAAAACTATAGTATCAATTACCAAGGACTACCTGGAACATTAACCTTACTTTTTTATCCTCATCCATAGAAATCATCCAGAAGAATGTGAAATTAAAAAAAAAAAAAAAGAAAAAGAAAAAAGAAGAGTGCATAATTAAAAACGACATAACCAAACCTACAGAGTAATTACGAAATTATCCAGAATTTCAAAATTCCCAGCACAAGCAATCTTCTTCGAGACACCTTAATTATCCAGAATTTCAAAATTTCCAGGCTCAGAAGCTACCAAACTCATCCGCATACTATTTTCCAATTATTTTCATTCTCAGTCTGAATTCATAAGAACCAATAAAAACTTCGATTCATAAGATAAATTCACTGACCTGAACTCACAAATCAAAAGGAAAAAAAAAAAAAAAAAACTGCAGGTGCTTAACACTGAAGCAACCGAAGAAACTCACCAGAAAATCAAACCGCACAGGTACTTCTGTCGTCAATAAGGATGGAATTACTATGGGTCATCATCAGATGATTTAAGCTAAAGTTGTATATGTAGAGAATGAAACAGAGGCTTTCGAGATTATGCAGTTAAGTTTCTCTGAGATAGAGAGAGAGAAATAGCCACGTGGAGAGAGGAAATGCGCGAGAGCATCCAAATTCGTGGCTGAAAATGGCGCCCTAAGTGCGATCCCTTTCTGCGCTCGCATTGGTGCTCGTCCGTATCATCAATTCTGGATCCGCCACGTGTTCTTTACCTGTCATCATGACGTCACTGACGACGGGTGGGTATCCGATAACATAAACTATATTATCCAAACTCTGCTGATGTTATGTTTCTTTCGTTTTCTAATGTCTTAATCGCCACTTACTATCAATTAACTATTAAATCATCCCCAGAATTCAATAGTTATGCATATGATAAAATTTGTTCTTACACATTCATTTAAGATTGACAAGTCTTATATTTACAAGAAACACACGAATCTAATAAAGAACTTATTAGAATATTTTATATTACGAAAGCTACTGTTCGAACTCAGGTTGCCCAATGAAAAAACAATCACAACATCAACCGTAATGCACAACACAGATCCAAACACAACCGACATCCGCAGAAACACAACAATCATGCGAACCAAACCTCGATCTAAGAAAAACATCAACGATCTAAGTCTATTCTCTCTCAAACAGACAATATACACAATACACTGTAAGGAATGCACAGATCAGTAAATCAAACCGAGAAACAGCCTCAGAACAGGCTGTATGTCGAAGACCTGAGCCAGAACCTTCACTTCGCCGGATAGATTATCGGAGAAACCCAAGAAAGATCGATTAGAGTCCCCATCGCGGGTTAGGGCTTTCTAGAGGGAAGAATCGCGCGTCGGGGAGAGAGAAAGAGTGAGAGTGTGAGAGTGAGTCATACGAACCGGATCACAGGACATATATATATATTATACTGTTCCAGACCGGTTCAACTTTAAATGGGGTGGTTCAGCAACAGACCACCGGTTTCTAAAAAAATCGGGAATGGTTCGTGATTACCGGATCTGAGTTTCGGGTTGTGCGGGTCGGGTTGGTGCATCACCGGCCTCTCAAGTCATTGGCCAAAAATAACTCCACAATCTTCACCTTCTTGGGAATGGAGAAAGTGGTACAACATGGGTGTCATCACGGTCCGAGCTTCGATCGCTTTCAATCTTTTAACCTGCTGACTTACTTACCATGATTAGAATTCGCAAATTTTAATAAAAAAAAAAAAATTCATGCCAAAATAACAACAAAACAAAAATAGTGCATAAAAAACATAAAAATAAATTTTAACTTACAGTTTCAAAACATTCATAATCAAAAGTATCGATATACACTGTTTTCTTCCACAAGTTGAACTTCGAAAAAGACAAAACCTTAGTTCCCATGTCCGCAGGGTTGTATTTAGTTGGAATTTTTTTTCAAGTTTCAAAAGACCTTTAGACACAATGTAATGAATAAAGTGAAACATAATGTCTATATGTTTAATTCGGTTATGAAAAATTGGAATTTTACACAGCTGGATCCCCGATTGACTATCTGAAAAAACAGTGACATCATTTTTCAAATTCCCAATTTCGCTTAACAGCCTTTTAACCATAATGTTTCTTTTAGAGCTTCAATTATAGTCACATATTCAGATTTTGTAGTATAAAGAACAATTATATGTTGAAGTTGAGACTTCCAAATAACATATAAACCACATAGTGTAAAGATATAAGATGTAGTTGACTTCCTAGAATCTCTATCATTAGCATAATTGGAATCCACATACTCATTTAGTTTAATCTCACTTATGTGTTTACCAAAAACTAAACCAACATCAATGGTACCAACCAAATACCTAAACATACATTTTAGAGCATTTCAATGTTCCACACCAGGATTAGCCATATAGCGACTCAAACAACTAATAACATATGTTAAATCATATTTAGTACACACCATTAAATACATGATTGAGCCTATGGCATTAGAGTAGAGAACATTCTTTATGTAAATCACATCATTTCCAGATTTTGGACACTGATCTTTAGACAAAATGAAATTAGACGCTAAAGGGACTGATGAGTATTTTGAATCACAAATTGAAAACTTTTTCAGAATTTTCTTAATATATGTGGATTGGTTTAGAAACAGCACATTATCACTTCTATTCCTTACTATATTCATGCCAAGAATTACTTTTGTATCCCCTAAATATTTCATATCAAATTTATTACTTAAACAATCTTTCACATGATTTATTGTTTCCAAACTAGAACCCATTAACAACATATCATCGACATACAACAACAAGAATGTGGGATGTTTAGATGCTATTTTAAAATATAAGCAATGGTCAAATTTACTTCTAATAAATTTCATAGATCTCATACACTCATCAAATTTTATATTCAATTGCCTAGGGGACTGTTTTAATCCATAGAATGATTTCTTTAAAAGACAAACATGATTTGTTTTATTTTTATCAAGATAACCTTCCGGTTGTTTCATGTATAACTTCTCAACCAAATCACCACGTAAAAATGCTGTTTTTACATATAATTGTATCAATTTCCAATCAAAATAAGCAACCAAAGTAAGCATGCATCGTATAGTGGAATATTTAACAACAGACGCAAATATCTCATTGTAATCCATACCTTCTTTTTTAGTATACCCCTTAGCAACTAACCTAGCTTTAAATCTAACTTCATTTTCATCTTGTTTCACTTTATATAGCCATTTACATTCAATTACAGAGCAGTTAGGCAATCTTTGACTAAATTTCAGGTATTGTTATCTTTTAAAGATTTTATCTCCTCATTCATAGCCTTAATCCATTCATCTCTATGTTTTGATTTCATTGCATCATTATATGACTTTAGTTCATTCCCATCTAATGACTCAAACACATTATGAATAAGTGAAGTCACATCAAAGTCATTTAACCTAGATGGTAGTCTAATGTTCCGCCTACTTCTATCCCTAGTTAGTTGATAATTCTCAAGATTATAAGGTTCAATTCCAGCAAGATCAGAATCTGTATCTTCATTCAAATTTCCAGGGCTGATGCCTGGATAAGTTTCTGCATCCCATGTGTTGTATTCTTAATCAGCATTGGCTGGTTTAAAAATAGCCATTTCTGGGGCAGAATTCTCACTTAATTCAACCTCATCTTCGGCTGAATTAGAATGAGTGTGCTCCACCTCACTTTGAGTATTATTAGAGTCACTTAATACATAATTATCATCAATTAAGGACTGATTTTGTTTCAAACAGGCCATTTCACTCTCATTAAATGCTACATCTCGACTAATAAATGTTTTAAAACCAGGCTTTGAGTTTAACCACAACCTATATCTCTTTACTCCTTCAGGATATCTTAGAAAAACACATTTCTCTGCTCTAGGCTTAAGTTTATCATTTAAAACACGTATAAACGTTGAACAACCAAAGACCCTTAAATTTGACAAATTTATATCACTACCACTCCAAATAGACTCGCAAGCACCTTTTAAAAGTACTGAGGGTGATCTATTTATTAGGTAGGAGGCTGTTTTAACATCCTCGTCCCAAAAACTCTTGGATAAAACCGAAGAAGCTAGTAAGCTTCGAACTCTTTCCAATAAAGTTCGGTTCATCCTTTCAGCAACCCCATTTTGTTGGGGAGTATAGGGGGCTGTCCTATGTCTTCTAATTACATTCTCAATACAGAAGTTGTCAAACCAAGTATTGCAAAATTTGAAGCCATTGTCGGTTCTTAAACACTTAATCCTTTTTTCCCGTTTGATTTTCAATTGAAATTTTCCAGTTTTTAAAAGTTTCAAATACATCAAATTTCTGTTTTAACAAGAAAATCCAAACTTTTTTGGAAAAATAATCAATTATGGACAAATAATATCTTCTCCCTCCATGTGTGGGTACACTCGAAGGGCCCCACACATCCGAGTGAAGATATTCTAAAATACCTTTTGAAAAAATTTTATTTTCAGGGGGTTTTTGAGGAAATGAAACCTTACGGTGTTTTCCATAAATGCAATTTTCACAGAAAGGCAAAGTTGAAAGTTTTTCAGGCCCAAAGTACCTAGATTTCTGTAAAATCTCTAATCCTCGATTACTCAAATGACCCAACCTTCTATGCCACAGCTCAGTGTTATCTTTTACAACATTAACACACACTTTAGATTCAATTACAGGCACAACAGTCACTACATAGAGGTTATTTCTCAAAACAGCCTTGAAAACAACTAAAGAACCCTTTGTAATTTTCATAAAATTCATTCCTCATTTCCTCTCTAAGCCTAGGGAAGACAAACCAGCACATGAAAGCAAGTTATTTGACAGATTTGATACATGTCTCACATTGCAAAGTTTCAACACAATTCCTGAACTAAACCTTAGAACAACAGTACCTATCCTCATAACGCTACATACCCTATTATATGCCATTGTAACATTACAATTTGAAAGGGTTTTGTAATCACAAAAAAAACTCTTTAAAAGGACTCATATGATAGGTATATGAGTCTAACGACCATTCATTTTTGTTAAATCTGTTATATTCGAACATTTAGCAGTTACAGCAAACACCTCACCTACACAATCATCATGTAATATCAAGTTTGATTGCTCATTCAAAGTAGCATTGACAGTGGTTGTTCCATTGTTTATATTGCTATTATTGTTATAATTGTTTCTATCTTTCTTAGGACAGTTCCTAATAAAATGTGAGGGATCCCCACAATTAAAATACCTCCTAATGTACTTAGAGGGTGTTTGAGACCTATTCCTAGACTTACTTCTAGGTTTCTTCTTATATTGACTATTATAGGAACTATTCCCTTGCTTATTAGTATTGAAAGAAAAACCATTCTTGTTAGGCCTAAAATGAGATCTACCCCTAACATGCATGACTTCACCATGTGGCTGTTTGTTAGATTTATAAAGTTGCAAGTCTACTTCTTTACTTTTTAGACCATTTATAACTACATCAAGTGTAATTACATCCCTACTATATTTTATTATTGATTTTACATTTGAATATGAACTAGGAATTGCATTTAACAAAACAATAGAGCTGTAATTATTTATTGTTTTATCCCCTGTTTGTATGATATCTTGTATTAATTTGGT